AGCCAAGATGCAGAAGACCTCCACAGCTACCATGACCTTCCCTTTGGCACTGTGGTAGACAGGCAGGAAGGTGATCCAGACACTGCAGAACACCAGCATGCTGAAGGTCAGGAACTTGGCTTCATTGAAGGTGTCAGGCAGGTTCCTGGCCAGAAAAGCCACAGTGAAGCTGGCCATGGCCAGGGTTCCCAGGTATCCCAGGACACAGTAGAAGGCAGTGAAAGAGCCCTTGTTGCACAGGATGATGACATTGCCATGTTCAGAGTATGCATCTGTGTCAATAAAAGGAGGAGAGGTTCCCAGCCAGAGTCCACAGAGACTCACTTGGATCAAAGTACAGATAGGGATGATGAACTTAGGAGCCCCAGATACCAGCAGCCACTTCATCATTCTCCCTGGAGAAGTGGCCTTGAAGGCAAGAACCACGGTCACTGTTTTGGCCAGCACTGTAGAAACAGCCACAGTGAACACAACTGCAAATGCGATCTGCTGCAGGATGCAGGTGACCATGTTTGGACGACCAATAAAGAGCAAGGAACAAAAGAAACAGAAAATGAGGGAGATGAGCAGGATGTAGCTTAGAGCCCGGTTATTGGCCTTGACAATGGGAGTGTCTTGGTATTTCACAAAAACCCCAAGAATTAGAGCAGTGAGAGTAGACAAGCAGAGAGCCATGCAGGCCAGGACTAGGCCCAAGGGTTCTCCATGAGCCAGGAAACTTTCAGCCCTATGGACGCACTGGTTTCTCTCTGAGTTGGCATATAGATGATCTGGACACTTCACACACTGCTCCATATCTGGAAAGGAAGACAAATAATCATTAGTCCCCTTTCAATAATGCACTTTCTTCAATGAAAATTCGAATCTCCCTGCTTAGAGATAAAACATGTGAGGGTTTTTGAAGGAAAGGCAGCTTTGACTCTGCAATCTTGATTTCTTTTCACTTGGGTTAATCAGAGAGCATTACAGAGAATTTCTACTTAAGTAATGGACTTACCTGTCCCATTAGAAATCTCATTTTCTGGGCAAGGGATACAGTCAAAGCAACAGGCAGCCTTTTCCTCCTGAGAGGATTTCCTGAATCCAGAACCACAACTCTCACTGCAAACTGAGTGAGGAATCTGAGGAAAATCATATATGTGTTGTAACTGTTCAAACTTTAACCTAGCACACCAAAATCATTAAATTTTCTTAGAAATTGGACCATTAAACCACTTTCTATAAACATAAAGCCAATCAGTTGAATGGATAGTTACAATTTCCTTATGTCATTATCCCCAAAACTTATGTGCTATACTCTTCATCTGCAGTCCCAGGTACCATAGTAAAGTGTTCAATCTTTAAGAGGTGAACATAATATTAAGATAGTCATTGATGGCTAACACTAAGGAACTTCTTAAATTCGGTGTGTGGGGAAGTGTGTGTTTGTGTGTACGCATGCACATGGGTGTGCGCAGAGATGCATATGCATGCTGGTCTTGGGGATGGAACTCTAGTCCAGGGCACTGTCCCTTAGTTTACATAATCAATGCTAATGCTATACCAATTGAGACCACAGCTCATTTCTAATTTTTTGTGGTTAATTGAAGAGAAGAATCTCATAACTGCCTTGCCCCATCTGACTCCAAACTGCAGTACTCAGATCTCAGCCTCTTGAGCAGCTAAGGTTACAAGCATGAGCCTGGTAATGAGCATGGTGCCTGGTAAATTCACTTCCACTGATTCATAAAATATGAAAACCCTCACTGAAGCTGTCAAAGTATTCCTTAAATATGGACATCACCTACATAAGGTTATGTGAAACCCATATTTCTTCCTCTCTGCTTTCCAATTACCAAGAAGTAAAAATCTTCTGACACAGAAAAAAATATTTCTGATTCCTGTTACCCTGATGCATAAATTACAGATCAAGTAAGCCTAGACTAAAACAACTACAGTGTGGAGAAAAATGAACCCGGAATTTTGTCAGCATATTAGAAAACTACTATAACATGTCATTTGTATTTTTACCAATTACAATAAAGTTTAAAAACCTAGGATTCATATATTCCTTTTCCATCCTAGAGACAACAAATAAGAAAATTCCTCTAGATGGTAATAATTATCCAATGCTTGGATAATTAATGAGAATAGAGGGGCTTAAAACATAGGGATTATTTTGCTTCCATGAAGTTAAAATCATTGTAGTTAGGTCCAACTCACCTCAGTAGTTCCTATGGTCCACTCTATCATATCTTCAGATATTGACAGTTGATGACCATGTGGAGCATATGGAGAAAATAGTCCTACTTTCACCTTAAATTCAAGGCCTTCTGGAAAATTCCAATTGTTCACAATGTCATAGTCTGTATCTAATTTCTCTTTCTCATTCAAAATCACTTTGTCTCCAGCAGGGTTATGAAATTGGATCTTTTTCAGAAAAGGGTGCAGCTAAAATAGATGCATCTTACGATGAAGTGAATCCAAGCATTAAGACAGAAAACCTAAATTCTACAATGACCCTCATTGTCTTTAATACCTACTTCATAATTCTGAATTGACACACTACATGAAGTAAAACAAAACAAAAATGTACAGAGGACTGAAATAATGTTTCTGAATATTACTCACTCACAAAGCCTCTTTTAAAGGCAAACCAGCTCCATGTAAATAACCATGAATGAGATAATTCTATGCTGTGTAGCTACTGGTTAGCAGAACTGCCTGTGTTTTGAATATCTGGGAACTTCCAGTTGGCTAAATTATTAGTACCTAAAGTGGAAATAAACCAACTCTAATGAATATCTAAGAACATGCAGCTGGCGAAATTAGTAGTAAGGAAAGTGGAATTAAACAACCCCATTTTTTTAGTTAGAGAGAGAGATTTCATGCATGGAAATAATACATTAATTTTAAAAAATTATTTTATTGTTAAAATGTACAAAGGTTTTAAAGATACATGAGTAAGGCAATGAGCACATTACTTGTGGATCATTTTTACTCCTTCTCTTCCTTGTTGTTGTCCCACTATCCCTTCCTTCCCCTCACATCCCACACACCTATCCCATAGCCCAACCTCATGGCCCTAAGTTGTAAAGTTCCTTTCCACTATACTGTCCTGTACGTATCCTTGTCTCAATGGGTCATCCTGTATCCTTGTTTCAGTGTTTTGTTATTCTCCTTCTCCTCCCCAGATTAGAAATATGTATATTATACAAGATTCAGGGTATCAAGATCAAGTACAGTGAAAGCAGGATAAGTCATAGGGGAAAGAACATACAAAAGAAACAACAAAAACAACAAAAAATAAAAACACATGGTATATTTAAAACAATAACAATAAAAACAGAACTCTTGTGTCCATATCTTGGGATTCTTTTCACTTAACATCATCGTATATATTCATTTTACATGCTTTTTGAGCTTTTCAGCTCATCTGATAAGATTATCCTATATGTATACTAATTATTGCAAATAAGGGAAACCATGGGACCTAAATTTATTTGGGACCGAGTAACTTCACTGAATATGATTTTCTCCAAATTTTTCCATTTCCTAACAAATGAGGCGGTATCATTATTTCTGATGGAGGCATACAATTCCATTGTATATATGTACCACATTTTGTTGATCCACTAATCTACTGTGGGGCATCTAGGTTCGTTCCATATCTTAGCTATGGTGAAAAATGTGGCAATAAACATAGTTGTGCTGGTAGTTTTAGTGTGGCCTTGTTTGTGATCGCTTGGGTAAATGCCCCAAAGTGGGATTGCCAGACCATAGGGGAGGTCTATGCGGCTTTTTTTGAGGAACCTCCATACTGCTTTCCAAAGAGGCTGAACAAGTTTACACTCCCTCCAACAATACAGTAGGGTTCCCTACTGTCCACATCCTCTCCAGCACCTATCATAATTAGATTTTTTGATTATAGTCATTCTAACTAGGGTGAGGTGGAATCTCCATGTTGTTTTGATTTGCATTTCTTTAATGGCCAGAGAAGTTGAGATTTCTTCATGTGTTTACTGGCCATTCATATTTCCTCTTCAGAGAAATCTCTCAGAATAAACTTAAGTAAAGAAGTGAAAGACCTCTATGATGAAAACTTTTAAAACCAAAAAGGGAAATTAAAACAAAACTAAGCAAGTGGAAAAATCTCCCAGGCTCCTGGAAAGGGAGGATTAATATTATGAAACTGGCAATTCTGCCAAAGGCTATCTACAAATTCAATGCAATACCCATCAATATCCCAACCTCATCCTTCAATGAAATAGAAGAATCAATCCAAAAATTTATATGGCACAATAAAGACCCCAAATAACAAAAATAATGCTTAGCAGAAAGAACAGTGCTGGAGGAATAACAATCCCAGACATTAAACTATTACAAAGCCATAGTAATCAAAACAGCTTGTTACTGGCACAAGAATAGATCTGAAGTCCAATGGAACAGAACTGAAGATCCAGAAATGAACCCACTGATTTAGAACCACCTAATCTTTGATAAGTAGGCAAAAAAATAGAATGGAAGAAAGGTAGTCTCTTCAGTAAATGGTGCAGGAAAAACTGTGTAAATACCTGTAGAAAACTAAAATTAGATCCTTCTATATCACCCGACACCAGAATCAATTCCAAATGCATCAAAGACTTCGAAGTATAAGCAGACACCCTGAAAATAATACAGGAAGGAATAGGAGAAATTCTAGGGCTCCTTGGCAAAGGCCAAAATTTCTTAATAGAGACCCAGAAACTCAACAAATCAAAGAAAGGTTGGACAAAAGGGATTGCATGAAACTGTAGACCTTCTGCAAAGCAAAGGACATAGCTAGCAAGATCAATAGAATGCCCACAAACTATGAGAAGATCTTCACTAGCTATACAACAGACAAGGGCCTCTTATCTAAAATATCAATACGTTAAGTATAACATAAGCTGGTGGTTCATGCCTGTCATCCTAGCTTCTCAATAGGCTAAGATCTGAGGATCCCAGTTCAGAGCCAGCCCAGGCAGGAAACTCAATAAGACTCTTATCTCCAATAAACCACTCAGAAAACCAGAAGTGGCACTGTGGAGCAAGTGGTAGTATGTTCTCCTCGAGCTGAAGAGCTCAGGGACAGCACCCTAGCCCAGAGTTCAAGACCCATGACCAACAAAAAAAAAAAGTAAAAAATAAAATATACTTAGAACTCAAAAATTTAAATCCCGCAAAAACAAATCCTTAAAGAAACAACCATCCAATTAATAAGTGGGCTGAAGAATTAAAGAGAGATTTCTCTGAAGAAGAAATTTTTTATTTAGTATTGTGCAAAATGATTTCCATTCAGTAATTCAGTTTAGGAACACAATGCATCTTGATCAATTTCTCCCCTTACATCATTTACTCTCATATTTCCAGCCCCACTTATCCCTCAAGTTATTTTCTGAAAACAAAATTATTTAATTACTTAGGTACATGAAGATAATCCTTTGATATTTAAGAAATTCATTAGAACGGATAGATTTAGATGTTTGAAAGCATTAGCTGTGAGTTGACTGAGGTCATTTGTAACAGAAAAACAATATGGGAACATTAAGTACATTTCCCCCTTTCCAGTAGCATGTTTTTCTTGAAGAAGATATGAAGAGAGATCTGAAAAAACATCAGGAACATTTAAAAAAAATTCTCTTGGGATTTTTAAAAATTAGAACATATTTGGATTCACTTTGTTTTGGATGTGTCAATTCCAAACAAGAATACCTTACCTGTACAGGGGAAAGCACCATCCCTTTCCCATTTCCCATCAGTGGCATCTCTGTTTGATGAAGAAGCATCTTGTGAAGGGCATGGGCCACAGCATACACAGCATTGTATATATTATAACTCTCTTCAGACATGGCCATGTCAAAAATGTGTCCAGGCAGCCATTCCAAGGAGGCATCCTGGGGACAGTTCTCCCATGTTACACAGTCAGACTCAGAATGGGAGCAATTAAAAGAGAGAACCCACAGCCTAGCAAGGTAAAAGTCTTCTGGGTATTTGGAAGGATTAACTTCCCTGACATAGTTCTTAAACCAAGAAATGTCTGAATGGTGGTGTGAGAACATGAGAGGGACATGGAATGAGCCTAAGATAAAAGATCTTCTACTGATGGTTAAATCACTCTGTGAAGTCATAAGCCAAACCTTGCCTGTCATTAAAAATTGCCCAAAATACAGTGTTAAGTTTAGTAGGTATTCATGATCACCATAAATGATGAATACATTTGCTGATGATCTAGTAATCTGGCTATGGATTATCATGAAGTTTAGTGCTTGTGCCAGCAGATTGCTTGAAACCACATGCTCAAAGGCTACACAGACTCTGTTCTTGGCCATCTCTTCCCTCAATTCTGGAATTATCCACAAACCACTTTCATCTAGTGAGATCAACAGCCCCACCCAGTTCCAGCTGAAATGAAGCATCAAGGAGACCATGGCAATGGCTAGTGATGTGTCCTTTGGGGCTATCTGATAGAGAGAAGGAAACTTGCTTTGTTCACTCAGCACAGGATCTAAAGGCCCAAAAGTAATCTAAAGGGAAATAAAATTGGAGAGTCTGTAAGAGTATTGCCATCCTTCACAATCTTAGTCTGTATATTAAGGAAGAGGTTTAAATGATGGAAGGAGATGTTTTCTTTCCTTTTTTGTTTTGGAAACCAAATTTTAAATTTGATTTCCCATCTGTATCAACCATACCCATTTCCGGGCTTTATTTTACATACATAGTTGAACATTACAACTTTATTTTACATCAGTCCGCTCTTCATTCCTCTATCCCCCACATCATTCCTTTATACTTCTACTATTACCAGGATATCCTTGTTTCAGCTTCCTCCTGTTCATTTGATCAGAGCACTTACATGATTCGGTACACCATTCTTCAGTGTATACATACTTGTGGCTGTCTATGGGATTTCCTATTTATTTCATATTTCCTGCTTATATTTTAAATCTAACTTCCAATTATTAGAGAAAACCTGACCATTTTTTCTTTCTGCTCCTGATTCCATTCACAAAATACCTTCATTTTTTTGTTTTACAGAAACTAAGCCTTGAACTCAGGCCCTGACCCATATCCCTTCTCAACACTAGCTTCTATAACTTGGTGCCACACGTCCATTTCCAGCTTTTAGTTAATTAGAGATAAGTCTCATACACTTTCCTGCTGAGGGGCATGTAAAAGCACAAGATGCAGATCTCATCGTCTTCCATAGCTAGGATTACAGATGTGAGCCATCAGCATCCAGATAATTTCACTTTTTTGTTTAGGTTTAACTTCTTTCAATTTTCACTTTTTAAAAGTCATTTCCTACTTTCTGATTGCTTTCTATACAACAAGCTTTCAGTCCCTGGCAATTTCCTTGTCTGCTCCAACTTCTCCATCCTCTCTTAACCAATGGATAGTCAGATATTTTTGTATATTTAACCTTTGATATTATAAAACTTTATAGATTTTGATAACTTATCTCTTATTATCACTTGAAAAAGCACCAAAGTAGACATCTTTCCACATCTTCATCCCTACCATTCTCACCTGTGGAAACCTGTAGATTTCCAGCAATGTCCCAATCTGGGCTGATGTTATTGCTGATATTCCTGTGAGTACTGCTACAGAGTTAATTTCTCTCATGCAGGTGTAATTAGGGATCTTGTACTGCCCAGAAAGCCAGACAAAGGGATTCTTGAGTGTTGACCAAGCTTTGAAATCCACATTATAGATATCAAATCCCAGAGTTATGTTATGTAAAAGATTGGGGTTCTTGTTGATTTCTTCAACGGCAAAAGCCAAGGCCAAGACAAACTGGTAGTTCTTGAAGACAAATCTGCACCATAGATATGAAAAATTCATCAGAAGTAATTCCAACTTTATCTTCAAGTCAATGCAATAATTTTGATGAGTTTAATGTTTGTTTCTTTAAAACATAAATGTGTTAACAAAAATTACCCTCTTTGGCATGGAATGGTAATGTGGTGTCCACATGAATTCTCAGAAACTATGATTTTTCTCTTTTATATGCAATATACCAAAAAGTTTGGTCTTCATTAAACACGGAATAGGCTATCATGAGACACAAAATATTTTTTGCCTTGATCTTAGAAAAACTAGCTCCATATGTGTGACAAATCTTTGTTTTTCAGCCACCTAGTATGTTACATGGTTATGTGTCCGGTTATAGGTTCATTTGAGGAGGATCCTACAGCTCTCTTCAGAAACCCATCACTTTGAACAGCTCTTTCTGAGATAGCTACCAGAACAAAAAACTCAAAATATCAGGAGAGAGGCTTTAGTTATAATTTATGCAACAGAGTAAATAAGATGCTTTAAAATGCAACAGAAAGTAGTTTCCCATATGAAGTTTCACTTCACTAAACTTCAAGAAACTAACCGTGAAGAAAGGAACTTCCAACTACAGGATGGAGAGAAAATTGTCATAAAGACTTGTGCTAAAATATCTGTCCCACAATTCCCATGGTGACATGGTAAAATGCAGTTGTGGGAAATGTCTTGATGATCACTACTCTCTTTCCAAAATATGTACATCGAGATATTGAAAAAGAAAGGATACAGAAAGTAAAGAGGATTAAAGTCTCTATTCTCTCTCTGTCTCTTTGTCTCTCTCTGTGTGTGGGGGTGTCTGTCTGTCTCTGTCATATACACAAGTAGACAACATAATGAAACTCAATGCACACTATTTTTAAAAAAGGAATGATAGAGGGGGAATTGTAATACTAATGAGGGAGTGAATTTGTCCAGCATTTCCTATATGCATGTGTGGAATTTTCACAATAGAAAAGTTTTATATCAGTGATGTATGCTAATCCCTAATAAAGTTTCAAAATTGGCTTACTTCACTTAATAGAATTTTCCCAAATCTTTCCATTTCCTTATGAATGGTATAATATCATTCTTTCTGATGGATGAGTAGAATTTGTATATATTTCACATTTTCTTGATACGTTCATCAACAGAGAGACATGTGCTTTGATTCTTTATCTTGGCTATGGTAAACAATGATGCAATGACCATGTTTGTGCTGCTGGCTTTTGGTTTTTGGTCCATTGCATAAGTGCCCAGCAGTGGGATTGCTGGGTCATAGTGAAGCTCTATGTTTAATCTTTTAAGGAACCTCCATACTGCTTTCCAGCGTGTTGAACAAGTTTACATTCCCCCCAGCAATGTAACAGAGTGTCCTTTTGGCCACATCCTGCCAGCCTTAGTTATTTTAAGTTTTCCTGTAATGGCAAATCTAACTGGAGTGAGGTTGTTTTGATTTGCATTTCTTTTATAGCTAGAGATGTTGATGCTTCTTTATATGTCTATTGTCCATTCTTACTTCTTCCTCTGAGAAGTCTCCATTTAACTCTTTAGCCAATTTGTTGATTGGGTTTTTGAGTTTTTGAGGGTTTATGTTTGCAGGGTTAGTTTTTTGAGCTCTAAGTATAATTTAGGTATGAGGCTCTTGTCTGATACATAGCTAGGAAAGATTTTCTCTCATTCTGTGGGCTTTCTGTTTATCTGGTTAGCTATGTTCTGACAAGTGAAATATACAGGAGTATAGAGAAGATACTCAAGTCTGCAGTGGGAAAAACAGGTAAGTATACCCCTATTTCCTTAAAAGTTGACTTCTCAGTAGAATCCACACAGTCTAGGAGGACAGGAATGATATCTATATAATTCTGAAGGTAAAAAATATAAGTTATTCACAAAGTATAAGGCATCTAGCAAAGATGTTCTGTACAAGTTAAGGACAGGTAAGAATGTTCCCAAACCTGTAAAGTTAAGAGAATATTCCTCTAGCAGATACTCTAGAAGATATGTCAAAGGAAATTGTTCTACTGAAAGGAATCATTAATATGGAAAAAATATACAGGAATATCAAACTTACTGGTAAGGATAACTATACAAACAGGATAAGAATGTTCCAACATATAAATGTGCTAGCTAAATCATATACATATTTCTTAGAAGATGGAAAATGTTAACCTACTTCCAATACTTAATATATAAAAATGTGAAATCAAATATACAGTACTTGAAATGATAAGGACAACAATGCAGTAAGTTTTCATTTGTGTATATTTACTAGTTTAATTGTATGAAGAAATTTCACTATGACATTTCTTTACATTTACTTAATTTTAATCGTAGCCTGCCTTCTTTCTTGTGGATACATTTTTTTCTTGTTCTTTTGTTTGCTTCTCATCCTTATCATGGATAGTGCTTTCACTGTAAAATACTTTGCTGTAATCAAGTATAATTTAAGCCTTCTATTAACCACAAATTAAAGCCCATAATAGACAAAGAAAAATAATAACCAAGAAATCAAAGGACAGAGATCATGTAGTAGGGCACCTGCCAGTGAGTGAAAGTATCAAATACAAAGTTTGAATCCCAATCTTAAACAAAAACTCACTTATTAACCACTGAGTCTGCAAGAGAGAAAACATAGAAGAATCATCAGTGAAACTATAGCACACATTACATAATGGAACTAATAAATCATTTGTCAACAATGACTAGGATCAAAACTGCATAAAATTCTCAATTTAAAAGATCTGGGACTGAAACCAAGCACCTGTGGCTTATGCCTGTACTCCTAGATGCTCAAGAGGCTGAGTTATGAGAATTGTGATTCCAAACCAGCCTGGGCAGAAAAAGTCTATGAAACTTATCTCCAGTTAAGCACAAAAATCTGGAAGTGGATTTGTGACTCAAGTGGTAGGGCACTAGCCTTGAGCATAAGAGCTCTGGAACCACACCAAGGCTGTGATTTCAAACCCTCGTACGAACACACACAAAACTCTATGTTGCCTCCAAAGGCCCCACTTCACCTTCAAAAGCTCCCATACACTGCAAGGTATGGAGGGGAGGCCCTGTGCAAGTGGAAACTAAAAGAAAGCAGGAGTATCCTTAACACATCATGTCAAATAGACTTTCAACACAATGAAAAGTGACAAAGATCTCAGCTCAACGACCAAAGAATCAAATCAGCAAAATGACTTAGCAATTTTAAATGCATATTTACTCATTATCCAAACACTTCACTATCTGAAGGAAGTGTTAGCAGAAAGGAGAGAGAGCCCCTAGTATAACCATTGCTAGTATAACCATTGCTAAAGAGTATCTAGAGAGACAAAGTGAAAAAGGATTGATCAGAGAGATATTTTACCCTAGATCAAGTGAGCCTCACATCTATAAAACATCTCACCCAATTTCTAAAAAGAACATCTCTTCATCACACATGGAACATTTCCCAGAGAGATCAAGGAAGATGACCCCAAAACACTCTCAAAATACTGAAATTTTCTTTACTATACATTACGACTATGTTGTAGTAAAACTAGACAATAATAGTAAAAGTGTGAAAATCTGCACATACAAAAATTTAAAAGAATGATTTTAAGCCACAAATGGGTCAAGTCAAAATTCAAGAAATTGTAAATGGAAACAGACTACCAAAATCTCTTTTTCTTTTTCTTTTTTCTTTTTTTTTGGGGGGGGGATTCCGGTCATGGGGCCTGAACTCTGGGCCTGGGCGCTGTCCCTCAGCTCTTCAGCTCAAGGCTAATGCGCCAACATTTGAGCCAAAACACCACTTCCAGCTTTTTTCTTTTTGCTTATGTGGTGCTGAGGAATCAAACCCAGGGCCTCATGCATGCAAGGCAAGGGCTCTATCACTGAGCTATCTTCCCAGCCCCTCTTCTTCTTTTTCTTTTTTTCAATTTTTTCTGGTCCTAGTACTTGAACCTTGGGCTTGGGTACTATCTCTGAGCTTTTGTGCTCAAGACTAGCACTCTTGAGCCATAGCATCATTACTAGCTTTCGGCAGATTCATTGGAGGCAAGAGTCTCATGGGCTTTACTGCCCTAACTGACTTCAAACTGTGATCTTCAGATCTCAGCCCCCTGAATAGTTAGGAATGTAGGCATGACTCTCCAACACCCAGCTAGAAAACCCATTTTAGATAGTGGCACTAGGCAGCCCCTAGGCTGGGAGGAAACAGTACTACTTTAGTCTTCTCTGTGCTGCCAAATTTCTGTATTGAACTACCAGACAGTCCCTTGATTCTTTGAAATGATGTCTGAATCATATACATAATAAGATAGCTTTCTGATCAAGAGTGAGAGCAGGAGATTGAATTTCCCTTCAACTAAATCCTAGCATTTTAGGAAACATTCCCATCTGCAAAATAGTGATAAAGTTATTAACTGGTTTAACCTTCCAAAGTTACTGTGTGGATTACTCTGTGAAGGTGAGATGTTTTCCTTGATAATGGCTTAAGAGGACATTCATTGGCCTCTGTCCTTAATTCCTGGCAAAAGGCTCCTAACCTTAAGGTACTTTTCAAGTGATAAAGGTGACAGAAGCCCTTTTTGCCAGTTCTGGGCTTGAACTATGGGACTCCACACTGTCCCTGAGCCTATTTGTGCTCAAAGCCACCAATCAACCCCTTGAGTTGCAGTCCACTTCTGGCTTTTTCTGAATAATTTATTTGGAGATAAGAGTCTCACAGATTTTACTGCCCAGGCTGTCTCCAAACCATGATCCTCAGCTCTCAGCCTCTTGAATAGCTAGGATTACAGACACCTGGCTTACTCCTTTTGTTCTAGTGTTTCAACTCTTAGCAGGTCCCTATATGACTTTAGTTAGACCATGCTTTGATCAGAAGTTTGAAACTTTCAGCCCTAGCTTCTTGACTTACAAGGCAGAGAGGATGGATATTACATTCTATTGCCAATTGCCACCAATTTACTTAATCATGCCTACATCATAAAATTTCCCTAAAACTTCTAAGCCAAGATATGTTAGTGGAGTCTCTGA